CAGTGACTGTGTGGAGTTTCACTGTGTCCACTGCCTGGGTTACAGTGACTGTATGGAAGACACAGAGGCTGAAGAAGTCAACATCCTTTCTCCACATTGTTCTATACTACAGACTCGAGCTAGTGACAAACTCGCCTGCTAGCCTGCCTTTCCAATGCCCTGTGTAAGGCAAGTCTTCTGTAGTGTGACAGCAGCTTGTCCTCTTTTTTCTTTCCTTGGCCCCCCCCCTTCTGAAATCAGTACCAAGCAGGTGTCTAGAACCTGCTGATAAATCCTAACTCAAAAAGTATCCACAAGTGAACAGGTTTGCTAGAGATTTATTTATTTATTTTTGAATTGGATTTGGGGTTTTTGTTTTGGTTTTTTGAGACAGGATTTCTCTGTGTAGTCCTGGGTATCCTGGAACACACTCAGTAGACCAGGTTGGCCTTGAACTCAGAATTATGCCTGCCTCTGCCTCCTGAGTGCTGGGGTTAAAGGCATGCACCACCACTGCCTGGCTTAGAGATTTATTTTAACATGTCCCTATAGCTATCAAATATTCTAACTGTAGATGTGATTAAGGAAGCACAAACTGAAGAAAGGGAGAATACTCCATCAGAGACATTTTGCTTAAGACAGCCATTCCCTGCTCATGCCTGGCTAAAGGTATAGACAGGAGAGCTAAAGGTATAGACAAGAGAGCTAGACCCCGGACCAAGAGGCGCTGCCTGCGCTTCCTTGGCAGTGTCACTGTGCTACAGAAACCGCTCTCACTGAGTAATTCTTGTGAAAAAGCAGGCTCCTGTAGTGTCCTCATGTAGTGTTTATTAGAAAAGCAATATGCTCTCGTTATGGAAAATGCATAAGGATACAAAGAAGAAATCTTTTATCCCTTCCAAGGGCACCACCATCTTTTTAGCACCTCCCAGCTTCTAATAATAATCAGAATGGGTTAACTGGTGGTGACTCACACCAGGCAGGAACCAGGCTATAAACTAAACACAGAGTATCATGTTCCATTCCCTAAAAACTCTCAGAGGCCCAGTCTAATTTTATGCCCATTTTTCAATTGATACCATGGAGGTTCTGTCAGACTGAACACCTAGTGCAGACACAGGGCTAGTGGCAGACTGAATGCCTAGTCCAGAGACGCAAGGCTAGTGACAGATCTGAGACTCCAACATCCACTTGGAGAAGCAACAGCTCTTCAAACTCCCTCTCCTCCACATGAGGAAGCAGGAAGGTTGAGTCAGGGGAAGAAAGAGATACCATAATAGAGGGAGCCATTATAGGTTTAAACAGAAATCAGGCACTAGAGAAAGGTCCAGAGATCTACAAGGATGGCACCAACTAGCCATCTAAGCAACAGTGGAGAGGCTACCTTAAATGCCCTCTCCTGATAATGAGATTGACGACTAATTCATATGCTATCCTAGAGCCTTCACCCAGCAGCTGATGGATGTAGGAGCAGACACCCACAGCTAAACACTGAACTGAACTGGAATCCAGTTGGCAGAGAAGGAGGAGTGATGAGCAAAGGGGTCAAGACCAGGCTGGTGAAACCCACAGAAACAGCTATCCTGAACAAGGGGGAGCTCATGGACCACCAGACTGATAGCTGGGAAACCAGCATGGGACTGATCCAGACCCCCTGAACGTGGGTG